CTGCTTTATTCCCTGTGGAGGAAAACAGTTAACAAGGTGTCCCCTGTTTTCAACGAGGGCAGAAAGCAAAGTGGCCCTGCTTTATAGTCACGGAACCACCTCGCCCACAAGGTCTGAGGAACAGACTGGAACTGGGCATTAGTTTTGTTTCTCCCTACTTCCACCTATCCTGAGAAGAAAGCACAAAATTAAAATTCAAGGTCAGTTCAGTAGCTGCTGCAGGTGTGCATATAAAAAGAAAAAAAAAAAAAAAGTACTCTTTGGAACCTAAAATCTCACTTCTGTTTCTTAACCAAGTAAAGCAAAAACAGCCATGAAAACGGTCGCATTAATCACACCTTATGCTGCAATCAAGAATGTGCCCTTTGTTGGTCTGGATTTTCAGAATTGAATGTCCAACCGAACCGCCTTGAGTGATAATGATCCCATAAAAAAAAGAAAAATCAACCACTTTCCTTTCAATGCCACCTGAGAGGTCAGACTCCCAAGAGAATCCATTTGCCAGATAAACACACTAAATTGGAAGGTGAACGCATATATCAGCCTGATGGTGGAAACTACTTGTCACTTGTGAATTAGCACATTCTGCTTCAGGGTTTCCAGATGAAATTCTGAAATACACATTTTAGTGCTGAAAATTTAGGATTATAGGTCTTTCCCCATGTGATGGCTTTTCAGGGCCTTGTGAACCAGACATGGTAGGGGAGGCATTCTTAATAGCTAGGTTGGAGATTTTCTGTTTCAGCAGGAAAGAATCAAATCACTGGCATAAAACAGGAAAGAATTAAATTGCTGGAATAAAGCTGAACTGAGAAGATTAAAATGTGTACAATTTTTATTAGTTCAACATATATGAACTGAAACATCAAAAGCCCCTCCTAACAAGGTTTACAGTCATATATTCCATTCAGAGGATGAGGCCAAGGTGGTAGAGCATTAGGTACCACATAGCAACCATGTGCATTCTTACCCAAGGCACCACATCCTGGTGGTGGACCAGGAGTGGTCACGAGAGGGATTCCAGGTAACGAAGCAAGCCGGAAGCTTCCCATGGGACTTACATTAAAAATAAATTTAGTTGCTTGAAAGCAACCTTTATAATGGCATCACTCTCATCTGTCTGCATGTCTATGTCTTCTTGGATGGGAGGCAGGGCTGGAGTTACAAAGAAGTACATCTACAGAGTATTACCTATAATTCTGGTCGTACATATGGGAGAAGGCCTCCCAAATAAGGATGCAGAAAAAATGTTGTGAGCCACTAATCCAGGAGCTGAGGAATGAACTGTCAATCCATAGCAACTTCCCTATTGTGGAACAACCCTAGAAGGAAGGGAGGTGGGGGGAGTTCCTGTTCTATCCCTTCCGATGACTGTCTGCTCACTTATCCCTATAGGAGGAGTTCTTAGAAGGAAGCAAGCCACGCCGGGGACAGTTTTCAGGGGTGTTTGTGACACCATTCCATTCCGTTGCCCATCCCTCTCCACATGCTCAGATAAATAAAATAACAGATTCATCCTAGGGCAAAAATTGGTCTCCTGCTGGGTAGCAACAGATGGGCTTCTCTACTCCATGTAACTTTCGATCACAAGTTCAGGTCCTTTCACCTTCATCAAAAAACCAGCAAGTCACTTGAGGGAAAATCAGGCGTGTCTGAGAGCAGCAGAGACTAGACTGCAGTCTAAAGACGAGCTAGGATTCTCACCTTTCCCTGAGCCAGCACCCAGGAGTCGAAGGAAACCCACAGTCAAAACCAAGAAGGCCCATCCCCGGCTCCCCAGCTGATGACTCCTTGTGAATTATTCACGTCAGGAGACAGCCCTCCCTGCTCCCTCCTTCAATATTGCCCAGTGACACGGACATGAAGTATGAGCCACTGGTAACAAATACACCCAAGAAATAAATTTTTAACAGCCAAGGGCAGGAGACAAAAGGACCCCAGGCAATCTAAAGGGAAAAAAAGGGAGCCAAGGGAAGAGTAAAGAACTCCTGACAGATTCTCAAATGCTTATAAGTTAAGACTAAATAAACCCCACAGGTTATTAAGAACATTCTCCTCCCCTCAGTGCCCGAGTGGGGGCCACTCTAGAATAAGGAAGATTAGCGGGCACTCCCAAGAGACAAGGGTACTTCTGGTGCAAGCTCGAGCTGCCCAGAGCATGAGTTCTGCTGGCCCACGAGGCCCTAAATTGCTGAGGCTCCTGTGGAAGCGGCCAGGAAACAGGAATGCTATCCTGACACAACAGTGTGCCGTAAGAGCGACATCCCAGGGAAACGATGGCACTGGACTGCACGTATCCGTGAAGGCAGTGAGTGTGACGTACGGACGTGGCTGCGACACAAAGCCTGGATGGGCCCTTCGTTGACAAGAGGAACTTCAAACACGTCACACGTGCAGCTCTTGATGTTTTAAAGTGATGAATCGCTTTGAGAACTGACTGGCTCAATTCAGCTCACAAAACACTTCATTTTTAGGCAAGAAAGCATCTGGATGACCTTCGGCTTGAGTCTACCTTCAGCAATTTTAAAAAGGGTAAAAGGGGGTGATCCAGTGCCCCTGTAAGGCTTTTGGGGGCAGGATATACAGACTCACAAAGTCGGGTCAGTAGGGGTCCTCCTGGAGAACAGACATGGGGAGAAAGGGCCCTTCTGGGCCTCTATTTGCTGTTCTATTGAGAGGGGCCCTTGAGCACTAAAGCTTCTATATACAGTGTCAGAAGGTCTCACCTACGAGGTTCTGGAGGAGTAAGGGAAGTGGTAGTACAAGGTGGGGTGAGCGTGTGTGAAATGGGGTCTCCCAACGTACCCTTTTACTAAGACACAGCAGCAGGATTTTGCCCAAACTCAGGCCTCAACTCTTATCTTTACCTATACATGAGCCCAAAGTCTCACTTTTAAACAGTAAATCTCACTGGAAGTCAGTAGATAAAACAAGGATATAAGAAATAAGCTGCCAGCAACAAAATCAGCTCTGCCCAAGAACTTTCTGGGTACCCCCCAGGCAGTAACTAGAAACTATCTTATCAAAAAGTAAGTAATCACTTTATTTCTTAGCACCAAATAATAATGCCCTGGGTACTGAAAGTACTTGGAGAAAGGAAATACTAGACTTAAAAGTGTTTCCCACATAACAAAAGCTTACCCCCTGAAGTGTTGAGAAATATTTTAACCATTTTTTCCCCCATAGAGAAGTGTCTCAGATACATTCCACACTACTCAGGGCTATAAAACAGACTTTATGTGATAAAATGAGACCCGTCCTGACAGCAAGGTAAATATGGACACAGCAATAACTAAAGTAGGAAAATTACTCGCATCTCTGAAATTGGATATGCAAAATTTTTGTGCACGTAAGCACATGTGTTTTCCTGGGGAAAGGGCCCGATCTAAATCTTCACAGGGACCCCAGAAAGGGTCTGCAACTGACTGAACCCAAGAAGAGAAGTAGCCTCTGCTTCCAGACTGACCAGCCCTGTGCTGTGACGTCCCAGGCAGTAACTTCTCTTCTTTGCTTCTCATGGTCTTTCTGTCTTCAGCTGTCACCTCTCACCCACGACACTCTTACACTGTTTTGGGGGGGTTTCTATCTTTCTTCTCTGCCTGCTTTTCTTCCTCTCTTCTCGCTCACATGTCTGCCACTGTTCCTTCACTTCTGGTGTGAGGACAAGTAGTCCTTATTTTTTTTTTTTCCTGTAAAGATTTTATTTATTTGAGAGAAAGAGAGTGAGCAAGAGAGAAAGCACTAGCAGGGGCAGAGGGAGAGGGAGAAGCAGACTCTCCTGCAGAGCAGGGAGCCCCATGTGGGGCTCGATCCCAGGACCTTGAGATCATGACCTGAGCTGAAGGCAGATGTTGAACCAACTGAGCCAGCCACGTGCCCCCAGGGACTCCTTATCTTTAAAACAACGATGGGAACTTCTTGGGATCGGCAGACCAGTCCTATGTCTTCTAGATTGCAGTATTATGGCTGGTTTCATTTCTGCTTAGCACCTGCGCTCTTTTCAGTTACCTTTGGGTTTGTGGGCGTTCTGCAAGGCTGAAGATGCTAGATGTCTGACTGCTGGGGACCTTATTGGAGCAAGCTTCCTGTGGGCTTTAAGGAGCTGAACATGGGTGTTAGCAATGAACACATGCGCGTGCACACACACCTCCATCAACCCCCAATCGACAGACCACTTTGAGAAAGCTGAGGCACTTTGTCTCTTTCCCAGCTGGTGTTAATATCTGAAATATGTGCACCCCCAGTCTGAGCTGGGATTTGCAAGAAATATTTAGAGCTTGCTCAGCACGGCATTCTCGACCATGTTCTATAAATGGCATGCTGGTAAATGAGCCGTGAGGGAAGAATAAAGAAAATGTTACTGCTTCTCCTTTGCTGGTAGATTACGGCGACGTGCACAAGGAAAAGCAGGGAGATGAGCAAAGCAGGCGAAGCGGGCTGCTGGAGGCCAGGCAGGCCCGGGTGCCACGCACCCACAAAGGAGAGCCATGGCGACTGCTGAGGCCACAAGAACCAAGTCTGAAAGCTGCTTTATGCTGCCACGAAAGACAAGGCACGGCTCTCAAGATGCCTACGCGTGCCACCTTCCTCTTGCACCTGCCACGGACGCTGGTTTATGGATTTCGGGGCGCCGGGGGGGGGCAGGGGGCAGCTTTTTACACAACTAAAAATGGCGGTGCCATGAGGAGAGACATATTCCCAGGAAGTGCCGGAAGTGGCAGACCCCAGATGACGTGAAAGTAACTGAATTGTAAAATATATAAACATTAGGCTGGCACAGAAATGTCAGCTCTCCAGAAGCGGAAACAGAGATGAAAACATTCAAACCATAGACAAACTGGCCATATCTATACACCCGAAGGGCAAGTACTAAGATTGGCAAGAGAGAGAAGCCATGACCCCCCCCCCCCAGTTCTCCTGTCCCCACGCCACCACCGTGGGGGCGTGTGGGGGTCTCCACACCTCTGGCCCGGGAGGGCGCTGCCTGTTCCATTCCTTACCTCGTGGCGGTCACCGGCTGGGCTGTGTGAGGGCCGAGCTTCTTCCTCTAGGGGCTCAATCTCGGCAAACTCTTCCACGGATTCTTGAAACTCAGGCAAGGACCTTCGTCCATAACGCTTGCCACCTTTAACATATTTGGGCTGAGCTTCTAGCGAGCAGTCTAGGCAAGGAGACAAGAGTTGAGGCCACATTACATGACAGACTCAGCCCTTTAGCTGACACTCACAGCTGTCAGACGCAGCCTCTTATACCAGCCCCAGAATAAACCACCACCGTTGGCCAGTTGTGCTGGACGTGGGTGGATCTGAGCCGCCAGGTCAGGCGCAGAGCACAGCTTCTCATTCGGAATGACTGACAGCACCCCGAGCACATCCCTGCATCCCACGCGAGAGATGCGATGGCGGCAAGACGAGGACAGAACTAAGATCAGGCTAAAGCCAGCTGTCCTATTTGGTCTTCTGTTTATGAAGCTGGTGTCTTGCAGAGAGGGGAAAAGGGAGAGGGGGAGATCGTCCTGACAGGGAGACACGTTGGAGGAAGTCTTGGAGAATAATGCTAAACTGAACACCACACCCGCACCGTTAGCATTCACACAGCCCTCCTGTACCTCAGTGACTCCTTTGTGAACCATCCCACCTTCTGCTCCGTCAGACAAGCAGGGTGACAGAACAAAGAAACTGACACAGTGGATCCTAATAAATGAAGGACAGCTCATCGCTTACATGAAACCTGGCATCAAGCTCTCATTATAAAATTAAAAGCTGGGGGAAAAAACAGCAAATGCAAAACTGCATAAAGGAAAACGGTACGTTGTGTGTTTTTTTTTCCTCTTCATGAGCTTCGGTGTTGCACAAAGTAAAAAGGAACGTGCGTAAGGCGAGAGTCGTTTCTTGACCTTAAAGAAGGACCTCAGCATTCTGGTGTAACACGTCTCAGGTACAAGGGCCACGGCCTCCGCCACCGCACACTAACCTTTCTCTACAATGGGTAGCTTGAAAGCAATAGAATAAATACTTCACTCCATACCAACGTCATCTTAGACACAGATAGGTTTTTTAGCACCTTGCACAGAATTAGGAGAGTAAGATATTCTATTAAAATACAAAAGATTGGCAATGCTTTGATTTCGGTTCTTATCATCCACAAAAGCACAGCGTCCCTAGAGAACATAATGCTTGTTCTGTTTGAACGTGACAGTCTTCACAAGATGTGTCTGAACTCAGACATGGAGATTTTCAGATGAGGTGTGGACACCCATCATCAAAACGAGGGTGGCTGATGAGAGAAGAACTGGCAGAGTGAAACCCTTCCTCCACCACCACGGAAACCACGTTCGGGGTTAGCCATCATGCTGTCGTTTCCCTGGGAGGACGGGGGATGCCGTCTGACTAACGCCGCCCTTCCCTGCGCCACCCCCCCCCCCCCGCCCTTCCTCCCGTATAAGCTCAGATTTCACAGATGTGGTCAGAAGCATCCTGAAAATGCTCAGCAAAGCTCGGAGTGAAGTATTTATGCCTGCTCTATAATTTCTAGCGATATTTATATCCAGCTTCTTAAAAGTCCCAGCCAAGTCATCTTATTCGGTTGAGCGATTCTCTTACAGGGAGGCTTTAAGCATTCACAATTTATATTGAAAATCACATGCATGTTTGAAGGTACCTTTCATCAGGAGAGAGTGGGTCAGCCTGTGAGTATTCAGGAGCAGCCCAGACACTCGAGCTATGTTTGGCAGCTGAGACCCCCAGATGCTGGTCAGGTAAGAGGCAATGCAGAACCATCCTTAATTTATTACACATTCTTATATCTTACTGGCAGACAACAAGATATAACATTCATGACAATGGGGGCAGGGGCGGAAAAGATGAAAAGAAAAACTTAGGATGTCAGAAAAGGAACATGACATTTCCCCGGTGTGAGATCGGTCGTGGTCTGGGGATGGGAGTGACAAAGTTGCTCTCACCGCGTCCTGCGCTTTTACAGAGGAAAAGACTGGTGGGACAGAGTGACCCGCTTAAAACGACTCCTGAGAGTTACTCCAGAACCCACCTGTGGGGAAAATGACTCCTCCGTTATTTACCACTAAATGCCTCATGCCAAGCAGGGAGCAGTCCTGGATTTGGATAAGGGACGGAAGGTAATAGATTGTGAGCCATTAGGGACCTTGCGAGGTTTAGGTTTATTTTACTTATTTTTGCATTGCCAACAATTGTTTTAAATATTTATTTCATAGTTTATTATTATAAGTAATTTTGAGCAAACTTTAAGTTATTAGCATCTTTAATAGAATGTAACTACATCACAAAGTCAATTTCTAGAGAAATCTGTTATACTGTGTACTCTTTTGGGGGGATAAGATATTAGCACACACAAAGGAAGAATGGGGTATTAATGTGACCTCATAATGAATTTCCCAAAGCGTCTCTGTGACCAATAAAGAATTAGACTAATCGAACCAATTATCAACAGTCACTTCTTTGACTACATACTCACATCTCTATTTAGAGCATGAGCATCACTGTGCTTACATGATAAGCGAAGGACGTCCAGAGAGAACATCCGTGGTCCACAGTCATCAATGTGTTAAACATTTGAAAACTATGATTTTCTTTACCAATCGCAACCAGGCCTTTAAAAGGCCACAGCAGCAGCCCACCAAATAAATTTTAAGACACTCTTACACCCCTAAATTAAAGAATGCTCTACCCCATCCTTACCACGTCCAACAGAGACTCACAAAACTGCAGCCCAGGGGCAAAGTTTATGTCCTTTATGAGTGTATCCAGAGGTAACTTACACATCTCAGGGTTTCATCATGGAATGGTTTTACCTATGCCAGATAATACGGTGTTGCCTGATTCAGAAATGAAATTGTTTATGTCCTATAGCCTAAGCCTAAGCGACTGCTCCAATCAAGTGCTCCAAGAAGGGATATGACATGCCAGTGACACAAACGATATATAAGGGACTGCCAAACTTTCCGTGTTTTGTTTCCTTGAAAATTTATTTACGACTCTACTTGGACTGCCAAGCTTCGGAGTCATTTTCGCTTCTTTCAATTTTTTATTTCTCCTATTTGACAAAAATAAAAATGGGCTTTGAAGGAAAGAAGACAAGCCCAGACTGCCTAGAGGAGTATTGAATGCACCATCCTTGGAGAATTTATCGTGAAACGCACCAATCCTAATAAAGTGGCGTTGAAGCAGTCCTATGTGACTTAGTCTAGATGATCTGGGTGTTGTGAGTAGGGGACAACAGAAATATCTTGATTCACTCCCCTAAAGAATGCTAGAGAAATACAGAAGCAACTAATCGTCTCTACAGAGCAGCTGCGGAGGTGGGGGGCATCTACACGGGGAGTTCAAAAGACAAAAGAAATACTATTTCTCCCAGTCTTAGAAATGAAACAAAATCTGGATGCTCAGACACCACATTCTTTACTCCATATCCCATCTGTCCCAAGGAGAGAAACTCCAGACCTGTAATAATGTCCACCTTCCAGAATCAGGATGAACCACCATGCATATGCATGTCTTGTGACCAGAGTCTTGTACTTATAATAAAAATAAAACTGAAATGCAGAGTCAGTGAGAATGACCACTCAGGGGATAAGCCAGCTGCAGGCAGGCAAAACCACAGACACTCACCCACCCATCCCACTCTCGACTCGCTCCCTGCCTCAACTCTTGCTGAACAGTACAGAGCACATAGTCTGTGGATATTTTATCACTTTTTGATTTAAACCTCCCTATGCCCAAAACTGACCTGAGGCTATTTCCAGGATGAAGAACAAAGCTCTGTCTTTTTGGTGCTGATATTCTTATTCTGAAACTGCTTATATGGACCCTTGCTTTCTCCTTCCCTTCCTGACCCATTCAGTTAGCCCGGACAATCATTCCCAGGGACACCAGCCCCTTCCAAAGCCAAAGGCCCTCAGCACAGGGTAACTCCGGTCTGAGGCCCTCCGTATTACATTTCTGCTGAGCACATGGGATTCCTGAAACTCATTTAAAAATAAGGAGTCAAAAACGAAGCACATTGCAAACCTCGGGACGAGCAGACGCAAGAAGCTTCCCTGGGAAAGGGCAGTCAGGCAGCAAATGAACACCCTCCAGCCCCGTGGCGCATCCCCACCTCCCCACCTCCTATAACACCATTACACGGGCATGACACAGAGTGCAACCCCATACCTGATACTAAGTAAGAGAAAAGGGAAGAGAAAGAATTAAAGGAAGACCGAGAGCGCGAGAGAGAGAGCGAGCGAGCGAGAGAGAGAGAGGTGGGGGAGGGGGGAGAAAGAGGGAGACAGACATGGACAGACACAGGTGGGGAGAGAGGGGGTGGGAAGGAGAAGATGGGCAGGGACCTAGAGGCTTATGGAGGGTGGGGAGCAAGAGGAACAGATGGGGGAGGGGACCAGAAGTGGGGGCAAAGTGTAGTGGGGGGTCCAAGGAAGAGGGCAGAGATGAGCTGGAGCGGTAGAAAGAAGAAAGGGGTGAGGAGGGGGATGTCCCAAGGAGGGCAGGGGAGAAGAGGGTCCAAGAGAGAATGAACAACATGAAGACATCAGGGAAGCCTTCGGACGTTCCTTCCGCCTCCCCGTGTGCCCTGTGCCTCCGGGGGAGGTCATCAGCCAGCAGGGTCCTCACCCCACACCTCTGTGCACACACGGCCCTTGCTGGGGCGGCTGCGCCCTGGCCACTAGCACCCCGCTCCGCAGCTACCCCTCTGTCCTGGAATCCACACACAAGACACGGGGGCTCATCCGGGGCTTTCAGTGAATGCGGTGGCAGAATTTCAGGAGTGGTCGCCACAGCCAGTTCTCACCAATCTGAGTTGATGGTGCTTGCTGGAGCACACAGGTGCTTCGGGGCACAAAGCTAATGGGGTGGCTCTGACTAACCTTGCCTGGGAGGAAAGTTCGGAGGGGAAGGTTTGCCCCCCACCAGGGTGCCTGGGATGGTGGATGCGTGTGGCCAGCCCAGGACCTAGTGGTCTGACTAGCTGGTCTGTGGAGCCCTAAAGCCGTTGAAGATCCACAGAAAAACGCTTTGAGTTGTTAACGATGATAGGACTGTCTCCCCAGCCTCCTCCTAGGGGTGTCAGCCTGCTGATCCCTGTTGGAAGGCCATGCATCCTGAGCCATTTTGGGGGAAGAAGGCA